TAAAAAAATGGGAGATTGTTGGAACAAAAATATTTAATACCATATCCCTTGAGTTTTTATGATAACAATATTTAAAGAACAATTGAGTTTTAACATCTATTCAAGTATACATAATTATAAGTCTGAGAACATATAAAGAGAAGCTTAAGAATTATGAATCTGAAGATCAGACTCTGACTCTAAAGATCACTTATGAAGACTTTGACTATGATGGAGGATCCAGACTCTAAAGAAGTCAACTCTGAAGCTTCAGATGTCAAGAGCAGACTCTAAAGTGATTAGTCTATGAAGAGTGAAGTCTGAAGAAAGTTAACCTCTGAAACAGGTTCACTTCAATCCAGACAACTCTGACAGGCTCAAAGACTTTTTGATCACATGAAAACTTAAAGAAAAATCTATTCTTTGTTGTCTGAGTTTTAGCGGATAATTCCTCTTGCAGAAAGGTGATATCTTGATGTGTTTAATCAAGTACAAAGTTAGCCTAATCTTTTGGTGAAAGTTCTCAACGTCTTTTACCTTCCTCTCTATATAAGGAGCTGTAAACCTGAAGAAGAAGACTACTCCACTGCAATACAACACTACTACAAACTCTAAACATTGACATTTCAAAGAGAAGTTACTGTGTCAAATTCTCTTACTTGTGGGTTTGAACATTAGAAGTATGTTGCTTGTGTGTTTGAGTATTTGTAGTCAGTTTAGTTATAGTGGAAATCTCTTGGAATTGCAAGCGGACTAGACTATTCTTAAGTTGTGAGAGGAACTAGAATAACTATTTGTGTCTCTTAATTTACTTTACTTGTTTCTGAACTATATCTTGCTGCTATAATTTGTTTATCTTTGAGTCAGATTCTGTTGCAAAATATAATAAAAATATTCAAGAGTTCAAACTCTAAGTGACTCTAATTTGGACACTGAACTAAATGTTTAAAATTTGATTAAGATCAATAAAAAATAGGAGAAAAAAATTCTAAAAAAAAAAAGAACACAATTTATAGTCTTTCTTGTATTTTTTTTTCCACCTTCAAAATGTCGAGGCAAAGTCATTTTTTCAATTAGAATAGGATCAATGAGTTTAGATCATTTTTATTCCTAAAAAATGAAAATGCCTTTTGAAAAGTAATAGACACAAAAAGTAAAAGTGTGTTGTAGCATGTTCAATTATTTTTGAAATTTAGTCAATATGTTTATTACCTATCTCTATAAATGGTCTTTTTTCTTTTTGAGAAAGAGTATTCTAAAAAAACTTTACTTCGGTTGGAGCCTATGCGTTCTCTCGCTTTAAACACTGGCGTGGTTTCCAATTCTGTGTTTCTCCAGCACTTAAGCCTGTGGTAGATCCTATGCATTATAAGTAGTGAAACGAAACGAAACATATTTGTGGCATGACCCTTTTGTGACCAAGTCAGAAGTTCACATTTGTTTGGAGGTTGTTTCTATTAACCGTGCAAGGTCGGTGTTTGATAAAATGTCTGTTAGAGATTTGATTTCTTGGAGGTTGGTTTGATTAAGCTTCAAGGTCGCAACATGTTTGAGAAAATGCTTCAAAGGGATGTTGTTTCTTGTAATGCTATGATTAATGGGTATCGGAAAATGGGAAATGTGAGCTTGTTGAGGAACTTTTTATGGCTATGACTGTAAGAATAGTGGTTACATGGACACGTACGATGATGCCCCTGTAATTGTTAGTGTCTTGCTGACATGAGTTTCGTCAAGGAAGGGAAATGGGTACATACTTATGTGCTTTATAGTAAGAAGATACATCATAGGTCTAGTTTTATTGGATCAGCACTTGTTTACATGTGTGCTATGTAGCCAGATAGAAAATGCTTAGTATATGTAGAAGTGTTTCTCATGGAATGGTTTGTGAAGCTATCAAGGTTTTGATTAAATTTGAATGGGAAGATCTTAAGCTTGATGCTATAACTTTCTTAGGGCTTTTAAATGCTTGCAACCATGTAGGACTTGTGAAGGAGGGCCAGTTTTAATTTGAAACCATGCAAGTGAAGTGCAAGATAGTTCCCAAATTCAGCCTTGTGGGTGCTTTATTGATCTTCTTGGTAGAGCAGGGCAATTAGAAGGCGCGCTTTGGATTACACGTGATATGCCTTGGAGCTGATGTTTTGATTTTGAAGATTATTTTCAGTGCTTGCTTGAAGCACAATAACTTTGCAATGGGGAAAACTGCTGCATTGCAAGCCATAGGTTGGCTCCAGAAGATTCAAGTTGTTAAGTTATTCTCTCAAATATCTTTGCTAAAGAATGTAGGTGGGATGAAGTGACTAAGGTTGGATCAATGATGAGAAAAAGGGGTGTGAAAAAAATTCCTAGATGCAGCTTCATTCTCGTAGATGGTAAAATCCATAAGTTCCTCGTGAGAAAGCACATGGATGTCCGGTATGATCAAATTGTTCTATCTAAGTTGGAAGATTGTGTTGAGTTGAAGTTGGAGGAATATGAACTTTATCTATGTTTTTTTAGATTTCGAAGATGATGAAAAAGGGTCAACTGGTTCTTCACAGTGAGAAGATGGCTCTTCCCAGTTTCACACATTCATGCAGCTGGTTTCAAAAGTCTATAACGTTTGAGTTATTGTGAGAGAACATAACCGTGCTCATCATTTCGGTAAGAGTTTCTGTTCCTGCATAAATAATTGGTAACTCTTCCTTATGCTGTGTTATCATAATGAGTTCTTAATTCTTGAACAATTATCATATACCTTATGATGACTGGAAAGGGATATTAAATTACTGACTTATTTTCTTTTCCTGATTTGTAACCCAATTCAAATTCAAGATAAAGATTTGAACTAGAGAGATAAAATACAACATAGTTTTAAATTGCAATTGCGGTCATTGTTGTTGCTGCAATGCGTATTGCGGCGTAAATTTTAATTGGGTGGTGTTTGAAATATAGCGTTAAAAAACACTTAGATGTTAAAAATTTTCATTACATAAGATAAGAAGTAAATTGAGTTTTGGATTTTGAAATTTTGAATTTTGATGAAAATACTTGAAGAAATATGAGCGAGTGAAATAGTGTGATGTGATTTCTAATAGCAATCGGACACATAGTTTAAATTACGGTGCAATTGCAGTCCGATGCAATTGCGGAGACTACCGCATTAGCAATATTGCGGCAGCAATTGCGAACCATGAAATACGGTAAGATTCATGATTTAAGACACAATATGATATATGATTTAGTTGTCATATCCTGTCTCTTCTTGTATACTGAACAGGTTGTAAATTAGTTGTATTTCTCTGTTTTTTTTCCTTCTTATACTCTTTTTTACGTATTTCTCTCTTTTCAATTGCTTCTCCCAACCAATCACACCCTAGAGTAATGCTAGTTCAACACAAAAAGTAACACCAACACCAATAATGTTGTTTCATTATTTTTAATGTTTTCCCCTATCTTGGGAAAGTTGAAAACTACCTTATGTATGGTGTCATGCCATAGAAGTCACTTTTTGTGTTCATCTAACATTATTCTTCTTTTTAACATTCTCTTTTCAAAATTTACTTTTTTAGGATCCAGCATGCATTCAAAACTGCATGTGGTCCTGCAGTCAATACAGAGATGATCATGGTTAAAATCAGACAGTTAGATTTTTTTTAAATTTCTTTTTGCTTAAACTGCTTTTTATCTAGATCGTTTGATTTTAATCAGACGGCCATATCTATCCTAAGTGTTTATAGTTTTGCCTGCATGCAATCGAAATAAATCCACTCTTTTACTATCTAGTGAAATTTATGAAGGTCCCTCCTCCCACTTTATGTGGGACCCATTCCCCAAAATGGTGAAACATACATCCATTCTATCTTGTCCTCACTCATTCTCTCATATTATACCTGTCTTCATGTTTATACTCTGAACTCCACCTACATTATATCTCTCTCAATTCCAACAGCAGAGCTCAGCGTGAAAAATAGCTTTTGATTGCAATTGCAGGTACATAGAGTCGCTAACAAGGTATGCTCTCTTTGCTTTTATAATTCTGGACTTAGAAATTATGCTAGTAATTTAAATGGTTTACAAACCAGGTTGAGTTTTCTGCTATGTTTGAATCCGAACATGTTCCTATTATTACTTTCTGTTTCTACTATACACATATATGATTAATTCTAAAATTATAAGACTCAACTCTTATGTTTAGCATAAAACTGACACTGTTAAGTTTGAATCGAAAGTGAATATTAATGTTTAAGTGATTTTTTGTTCCTAATCAGTATTAGTATAGAAGTTTCAAAAATAAAAGTGGGTTTTTTCCTCTATAAAATGCAACTATAACTATAAGTATCTAAGTGGTTATATTAAGTGTCAGATACTATTTTTTCAGTGGTCATTTTTATATTCAATTTTGCTTTAACTGTAATTTTGATTTGGAGAACAAAATCTCATTTTCCAAAAATATCTGCAAAAAGGAAGGAAAGATCATGCAGGCCAAAGCAAAACAGTTTGTTCCTATATGAGTTTTTTGATATATGGTTGATACATATATGAACCAAGGATTACAAATGGTTATACACAAATTCTTCCTATTAATTTCTTCTGTCTGTTTTCTCAGATTGAAACTAAACTTGATCAAGTCCAGAGTTTGCTCATAAAGCAGTTTGAAATTTTAAAAACTGATGAGATCAACTTAATATAATATGTATTCATATATTTTAGTAACTAATTAGTTAAACTTTCACCTGTAATTGTGGTATTGTCAAGTAACTAGACTGTAACCACAATTTTCCAGAACTTTTGGTATTGATGGTAATTTTAAATAACAATTTTACAGTAAAAGTAATAAATAGTTAGAATGCAGCACTTTGATGTCCATATTCTGAAGTATATGTTCTGTTTCTGGTTCTGGTATTCTTTTCTCTGTTTCTTGTTCAAGTTTTCTTTTCTCTGTTTTTTGTTGCCTCTTTTAAATGTATTTACAATTTTACATTGTTTTCTTGATGATGATGATGATGATATGATTGTCAGTCCAGTTTGTTTTTCCAGTAATGATTAATCGGATAGCAGTGGCAGCGGTGGTGATTCTCATAGGATGGGCTTATATGGCCATAAAGCCTCCTCCACCAAAAATATGTGGATCCATTAATGGTCCTTCAGTTACTTCACCTAGAGTGAAACTCGGTGATGGGCGACATTTGGCCTACCGGGAGTTTGGTTTTCCAAAGGAAGAAGCTAGGTACAAGATCATTGTCGTTCATGGATTTGCCAATTCCAAAGATACACATTTGCCAGTTTCTCAAGTAAGAACTTGCTTCTTTTCTTTTCTCTCATGTATGTCATTGGTAATGCTTAATATGTTCCAGAGAACTTATGGAAATAAGTCAAACTAGCTTATAGACAAGTTATAAGTTGTTTTCATATGCTATTCTAAATAGTCTCACAAGTGCTTATGTTAGTAGATAATCTCATTGAGTACTATGTGAATAAGCTGCAGTTTATTGAAGTATGATAGAAACTTGTACCAATAAAGTAAAAACTTATTAACAAGATTTTATAATTGATATTCTGTGGTGAATTGATTTTACCCTCGGTCTCTTACAAATTATTTTAAAAATTTGATTTTTTATAGTCATTATGTTTTTGCTTTGTGCAGGAGCTTATTGATGATCTTGGGATATATTTCCTCTACTTCGACAGAGCAGGTTATGGTGAGAGTGATCCATATCCATCGCGTTCAGTGAAGAGTGAAGCCTATGATATTGAAGAACTAGCAGATAAATTGCAGATTGGGAAAAAATTCTATATCATTGGAATGTCAATAGGAGCTTACCCGGTTTGGGGCTGCTTAAAATACATTCCACACAGGCATGTTAATTTCTGAGTAGTAGCTTCATTTTTCTTTTGATGGTTACTATTATTGTTCTCAGTAATAGAGAAATGACTTGTAGTTCGACAGATTATTGGGAGCAGCGTTGGTAGTTCCATTTGTAAACTATTGGTGGCCTTCTTTTCCGGTTAATCTATCAAGAGAGGCATTTCAAATGCTCCCTCAATCAGACCAATGGACATTTCGAGTTGCACATTACACTCCTTGGTTATTCTATTGGTGGATGACTCAAAATTGGTTCCCTTCATTGAGTTTCCCCAATACTGAAATGTTCCCTTCGGATGATCTTGAGATCCTTAAAAGCCTCTCAGAAGCCCCAAACCCTGGCCAGGTAGCTTATCTCTTAAGGCATTCTGTTTTTGACACTGATATATTGCTATTTGCGAATGATGCTAAGTGTTTTTTTTAACCTTGATTCAGGAGAAAATAACTCAGCAAGGTGAGTATGAATCATTATACCGCGACATAATTGCTGGTTTTGGAAAGTGGGAGTTTGGCCCAACAGAGGTAAGAAATCCATTTCTTGAGAATCATGGTTCAGTCCATATTTGGCAAGGCCTTAAAGATAGGATGATTCCGTATACACTGAACCGCCACATCTCACAGAAACTTCCATGGATTCATTACCATGAGCTTCCTGAAGGAGGTCATTTATTTATCTTTAAGAATTATCAATGTGAGTCCATAATTAGAGCACTTATACTATCATAAGGTATTTCATAATAGTGTCTGTTGAAAACTATCCGTCTACATATTATCTTGTGCGTTTCGATGTGTTATAGCTAGTAAACTCTCACATCTTTATCCATCTATATGGTTACAATTATCTTTTTGCCGCGTAAAAATGATAGTCCTACATTAATTATATATATATATATATATATATATATATATATATATATATATATATATATATATATATATATATATATATATATATATATATATATATATATATATATATATATATATATATATATATATATATATATATATATATATATATATTCATCTTCTCATTGATAAATTATACACTGGATATGTATTTTTAAGAATTTATTATAATTAAAAGATAATCATTCATGACTACTGTAATAAATTAATAATATATTTTGAAATCCAACAAATAGTTAATTCTTTTTACAACATTTATCTAATATAATGTCGATTTTATTTTTCATGCACAGATTATCACCAATATATGTTACATTCCCTATACATATTTCACCTTATGTTACATTCTCTATGTTACATTCCTGGCTTACAAATGACTCATTGTGTGTCTTAGAAGATGTAAAAGGTCATTGTCAAATAATAAATACTTCACTCAACTATTGTCACTGTCAATATCTCATAGACCAAGCGCACACAAAACCAATTTCCAATTCAATACAAGAGTTTTGAAATATCAGGTAAATCAGTTTCTTACAGTTTTTCACTTTAAATAATTTTTAAAATATTTCATTATTTTAAATATTTTAAAACAAATGTATGATTTTTATTATATTAAAAGAAATTTTTATAAAAATCATCTATTTAAAATAATAAAAACTAAAATATTTTATTTAAAAGAGAAAGAATGTGATGCACTGTCTCTGTAAATTAATTTTACACTATTAACCAATGACGATCATTAATTTCACCAAATCAAACTAAAATTTTATATTATTTGTATGACATGACAAAATGATATATTTATATTGGATGATAGTAAGAGACGACCCTGGGCATGGGCAAGCAGACTCACAGCTAAGGGTGTGTGCGGGTTGAGTTGAGTTTAATTTGATTAAGTTCAATGCAATTTCTTAATGCGTCCTATATGTTTCTTAGATACCATGCGAAAATTCAAAGATGCCTCTAGTTTTTGGAAATGTATCTCCAGATGTACTCCAACACACACTCAACACAGGTCATTTTGAGTGACACCCCATTATTTGATTATTTTTATTCCGGAGATGTATCTTAGGAATGTTTCAGAAGTTACATTTCCGTAACACATACACATCAGTAGCAGAATAAAAAACATGTAATTTTCAAAAATGAAATTAAGATTAATAAAATAAAATTAGGATTATATAGATCATTTCAACATAAAATGCAACGTTACTTTAATACCCATGTGGACGCTTCAACATCTTCAAAATATCTTTGATCGATCTTGAAATCGTCGCTTCCAACTTGAGCGAAACTTTAGTTTCGAAACAGAAATACATATTTCACATAGCATTTACATCTGCTTGCGTCTTGAGCTCAAATTTGTTGAACTCAATCTTCCATCTGTTGTCAATCGACGATGAACGATATTCGAGCTTCATAACCCTTCGATTGTCCCTGTAAGGTAAGAGATGGTGGATTTCGTCTTGATATCTTCGAGGGAGGTGAAATCGGCGAGCTTACATGTTCACCCGGGTGTAAAGCTGGAGAAAGAGACATTTGCGACATACCAGTTGATGTTTATTTATGAAATTTGAGACATTTTACTTTTGTGTGAAATATAACATAAGAGTACCATAAATTATATAAGTCATAGATCAATATAGACCACTCAATAACTGACATGCTGATTTCAGAGATATATCTCCAGTTCCACACCATATCATCTTGTTCTGAAGATACATCTTCAGAACTTCTCCTGAACCAGTTCCAAAATAGAACCTTTAAAATAAAACCTTATTACTTACAAAACAACAAATATTGTTATGGGGAAGATAAAAAAATGCATTAAGACACATTATGAACAAATGTTGAATATATTACACTTCATTAAGACACAATTACATACACTTATTTGTTCAGGTAAACAAGAAAATAAAACTGTGAGATATTAGATTGAACTCTAGTATGTTGTCAGAGTAATGCGTGTTGTAGTCGAAGTTTGTTTTAACATGCATTAGTCGATATTGCTAGGTTTGTTAGCATGTTGAATTGGGTCTTGCTTGTAAGTCCAATTGTTTAAGTTAGCTTGTACCCTAAGTTAGCTTGTAATGGGTAATTGTTAAAAAGCCCATTAGGTTAGTGTGTTATTTTTCTTATAAATAGCATGCTAGTCTCTCATCTTTTATAAGGAAAAATAGAAAGATAAAATCCCAATTCAAGTAAGAGAGGTTATTTTTTATTCTTGTATACTTGTAATCTTGTTTGAAGAGAAAGGAAAGAATAGCAGTTTATAACCAATCCTTGTTATTTTACCTTATTTTCTTTGTTAACCCTAACCCTTGTGTGTTTCTTGATCATAAAGAAACCGTTTATAGTTTGTTTTAAGGCATCCTATTCACAATATATTGGTGCGGTGAGCATGAAGAAGATGCCTTCAACAAAGTATGAGATTGAAAAGTTCACCGGAGTGAACGACTTCGGTCTGTGGCGCTTGAAGATGACATCCCTACTGGTTCAGCAGGGTTGTTTGGAAGTGTTGAAGGGAAAGGCAGCCATGGACGATGCGTTAACGATAAAAGAAAAGACAGAGATGATTGAAAAAGCACACAACATAATATTATTGAGCCTTGGTGATAAGGTTCTTCGACAAGTATCAAAGGAGACTACAACATCAGCGTTATGGGTGAAACTTAAAAGTTTGTACATGACCAAATCTCTGGTGAATCGACTCTACCTGAAGCAAGTTTTGTATTCGTTCAAGATGAGTGAAGACAAGATGTTGGCTGAGCAGTTGGATATGTTCAACAAACTGATTCTTGATCTTGAAATATTGATGTGAAGATCGATGATGAAGATCAAGCACTGTTGTTGTTGTTGTGTGATTTACCCAGAACACATGCTCACTTCAAAGAAACTCTCTTGTGTGGAAGGGAGTCCCCGAGCTTTGAAGAAGTTCAATCAGCCTTGTATTCTAAGGACTTGAACGAACGAAAGGAGTATAAACTTTCGACAGTGGGCGAAGGTTTGGCCGTTAAGGGAAAATTCTTGCGAAAGGATGGTAAGTTCAACAAGAAGAAAGGTAAAAGTCAGCAAAAGTCTTATAGTGGTGAAACATCTGATATTCGATGTTATCACTGTAAGAAGGAGGGTCGCACAAGAAAGGTGTGCCCTGAATTCTTGAAAGATCGTGGAGGTAAGGATAATGGCAACGTAGCCATTGCTCAAGATGATTTCGACTCATATGATGTTCTTGTGGTTTCAAGTGGCGACTCAAGAAAAGAGTGGATTATGGATTTAGTTTGCACTTGGCACATGACTCCAAACAGAGAATTGTTCGAGGAGCTATATGATCAAGATGGTGGATCGGTGATGCTGGGAAACAACAAATCTTGCAAAATTGTAGATATTGGATCTGTGAGATTCAAGCTCCATGATGAGTTAATAAGGTTATTGACTGAACTCACGTATGTACCTAATTTGAAGAGAAATTTAATTTCTCTTGGTGAATTCAATAGAAAGGGATATGCTTTCCAAGGAGAAAAAAAATATCCTAAGAGTCACGAAGGGGTCTAAGGAAGTCTTGAGAGGCGTGAATAAACTAGGCTTATATACCCTTGAGGTTGAGGTTGTGGTTCGACAAATGTTGCATCCATGAAACCTGTGTCGAAGACATAATTATGACACATGAGATTGGGCCATGCCAGTGAAAGAGGCCTGGTCGAATTGGGGAAGCAGAACGTGCTAGGAGGTGACAAAGTTGAAAAGTTAGAGTTTTGTGAATCTTGTGTATTTGGTAAACCCTGTAAGGTGAAGTTTAAAAAAGGCAAGCAAAGAACACATGGATCTCTGAATTACATTCATGCTGATCTTTGGGGGCCTGCAAGGAATCCTTCACACTCAGGTGCAAGGTATTTTCTATCCATCGTTGATGGCTATTCTAGAAAGATATGGGTATTCATCTAGAAGAAGAAGGATGAAACTTTTGAGAATTTCAAAAGTTGGAAGGTTCTGGTTGAAACTCAAACTTGTAGAAAGGTTAAGAGGTTGAGAACCGACAATGGCCTTGAATTTTGCAACGAGGCGTTCGACAGTTACTGTGTTGAGTCTGGGATTGCAAGGCATAAGACTGTAGCAGGTACTCCTCAACAAAATGGCTTAGCTGAGAGATTCAATCGAACAATCCTTGAAAGGGTTAGATGCATGTTGGTTAGTGCTGGATTGAAGAAGGTATTTTGGGCGGAGGCTGTTTCGACAACAACCTATCTGATAAATAGATGTCCCTCGTCTGCCTTGGGAATGAAGACACCTGAAGAAGTTTGGTCGGGACATCCACCTAGTCTCAACAGACTAAGAGTATTTGGCTGCATAGCCTATGCTCATATTAGGCAAGACAAGGTCAAACCTAGAGCTCTGAAATGCATGTCCATAGGATACCCTGAAAGAGTCAAAGCTTATAGGCTATGGTGCCTAGAGCCAGGTCACAGGAGGTGTATCACCAGTAGAGATGTAGTTTTCAATGAAGCAGAGATGGCTTTCAAGAAAAATGATGTGGAACATGTTGATGCTGAATTGCGTATCCCAGATGAAGTCAAAGAAGAAGCAGAAGCTGTTGTCAAAGATGAGGAGCAATAGGTCCTGGATATCTTCTCTCACAAGGCAGTAGCCTCGAGAGTTTACAGAACAAATGGAACAATCAGTATAGTTGTGATGCTCATGATTGAAAAACAACATCTTTGTCAGATCACTATGCATCTTCACCAAAGATTCTCGAATATTCTTCAAATTAAATACATCATACTTTCCCGAGCAACCTTGAATCATGTTTGTAGTGGACA